GTAATTGCTTTCACCTTTTCAGGATCAGGTGATATTCCTGCAGCCGAAACAATATGCCCCACATACTTAACTTGTGTCTGACAGAACTGACATTTATCAATTGAAACTTTCAACCCAGTCTCTTCCAGCCGATCTAGTACCTTCATGAGCCGCTCTTCATGCTCTTCCAGCGTCCGACCAAATACAATAATGTCATCCAAATATACAATGACCTGCAGGAGGTGCATGTCTCCGACTGCTCTCTCCATTAACCGCTGAAACGTCGCTGGAGCTCCTGTGATACCCTGCGGCATGCGTTCAAATTGATAGAACCCCAGCGGACAAATGAATGCGGTCTTTTCTTTGCTTTCTTCTGCCATCTTTATCTGGTAGTAGCCACTGCGAAGGTCAAGGACAGAGAACCATTTGCTTCCCACAAGACAATCAAGGGCATCATCAATCCTTGGGGTGGTGTACTGGTCAGGAATTGTTCGTTGGTTAAGTGTCCTATAATCAATACACATCCTCACTGTCCCATTCTTCTTGCGAGCTATAACAATGGGAGATGCATAAGGGCTCCTCGATTCTGTAATAATACCTGCAGCAAGTAGATATTTTATGTGCCGTCGAACGTCCTCAATGTCTGCAGGTGCAAGGCGACGAGACCTCTCTCTAAAAGGTCTGGGATCATGCAGGTTTATGTGATGTTCGACCCCTTTGGCAAGTCCTACGTCCCATTCCTCCAAGGAAAACACATTTCCTTTGTCCGACAATTTCTGACTTAACCTTTTCTTCCATTCTTCTGGAACACTGGAGTTTCCAAAATGAAACAATTCTGGATTAATAGTGGTAAGGACATTGTTACTCTTCTGAGCAATAGTCACTGTATCAGTTGATTACACTTGCGCTACTATAGTCCCAGGTGGAAGAAAGATGTCTCTAGAGGTCTCATTGTGTATTGGTACTCGAAGTTGATTCAAATTTTCCTCTTGAAAAGGTAAAACCACAGGGGGAATGAACAGTCAGGAAGGCAACTGATCATCTGCAGAAGTTTCCACAAGGAAAATGTCCTTTTGTATGGGCTTCTCACACTCTACTTGACATATTGCTTGGAGCTCCCCTTTTGAAGGTACTGTCAGAGAACCGGGTCCCACCCACTTTACTCTTCCCTGTGAACAGTCAGCACTCTCTTTTGATTTAGGTTTTTGCAGACAACACAACTCCTGATAAGGCGAACTGATCCTAAAGCTGTGAGCAATGCTGGAAGAACCAGTCTCTTCTGTTAGCGCCGCCAACCTTGTGAAAAAACTGGCATTTGTCCAAATTATCACTGGGACTAATTGGGGTCCTTGGGGCTCTGGACAGACCAAGGCTAGAATGGAAATGGTTTCCTCCACGTTGGTACCGGAGGTGGGGAAAGAAGCATCAACCACAATATATCCCTTGTAAGGATAATTAGATGAACTGAGTCCCCATATAGATAATCCATGAAGTGGTTGAATTGGCACATCAAGCAAGTATTTAGAATACCAAGAGTCAAACACAATAGTGACTTGGGATCCACTGTCCAAAAGAGCTCTACATGGGTGTCCATTGAGCTTCAGGGACACTGTAGAGGTAGGTCCCACCAATCCTTTAGGGAGACATGCTATTTCTAAGGCATCAATCTGACTTTTCTTTGAAAAACAATCAGGTTTTCCTGCCTTATTGCTGTCATTTGCCGTTTCACTTCTTTCACTTTTAGCCTTCTTTAGTGAACGAACAAGCTTTTGGATCACTTTTGTGGAATTTTAAGGGGCTTGGCACCTAGTTGCGATGTGTCCATCTTCTCCGCATCGATAGCAGAAGAAGTCTTCCTGGATCTGTCTAAACCTGCCTTTGGGTGGCATAGACCAAGAGTTGGATGGCCTCTGAACTTGCTCAGGCGACTGGCTATGAGTTACACTCATAACACTAATCTTCTGCTGCAATTGCTTTATTTGATCTTTCAGAGATTGCACCTCCAAATCACGGTGGGTATCTACATGTGTCTTTGAAGAAGTAGACCCAGACTCCAGCAGCACAGAAGCAGCTGAAACATTTGGGGACCCTTGTACTAGCCTGGCTCTCAGATCTTTGATGTCTGCTTTTAACTCTTTCACCACAGAAAAGCTAAGTTTCCCTTCGTCATGACCCTGAACAGACTTTACAGTGGCTTTTATTTTCTGCCTTGCAGCTTCATTTTCCTCAGCTTCTCTGACCTCATTCAAAAGTGTCAAAAAGTTTGGTGGGTGATTTTTCCTCTCTCTAAGCCTCAGCTGCAGAAGCATTAGGTCTGACTCAACAGCCCCTCAAATTAGTTGCTCAACCCTAACTCGATCCAACATTTGTGGAGACACTCCACCTTTCTGCACAACTTTGTTTAGTGCTTTGTCTACTCTACGCAGAAAATCTGATAAGGCTTCCCCAGGGCATTGTCTTAAAAGGCGAAAGGCAAAATACAAATCCTCTCCTGTAAAACACTAGCTTCAGGATTAGAGAATCGTACTGCCTTAATGATCTCGAGTGCAGACCCTTTTAGGCTCTCTACTACCCTTCGTCTTTTCTCTTTTTCTGAACACTCACTCAGCAATCATCATACGGGCTTGATCAACCCAGCCCTCCAATGTTTCTTCCCCTTGAGGTGTAGGCACAGTGCCGGAAAAAGTGCGTAAGACAACAGTTCAGTGGGAACAAGCTCAGGGTTAATGGTCTCACGACACTCGCATAACACCAGTTGTTTAAATGGGCTGGAACTTTCCTTGGTAGCTCTTACTCGCACTTTTCCCCAAGCTTTTACAGATTGTGTGACATCCTCAATATGTGCCACTTCCACCTCTGTTGACACTCCTACCAACAATATGGCATGAGTCTTATCAATCAGAACCTCTTCACACCAATTAGTGAGTTCTGCTTGGAAATCACAAGAGCCAGACGAATCCATCTTAAATTGCAAAACAGTCAGCAAGAGGTAAACTAGTTAAGATACCAACAAAATAAATTTGAGTTCCCCGTACGGGCCACCATTTTATGTAACACCCTACTCAGACAAAAGTTTCTTCTTTCCGGAGATATTTAGAGTGATCACACGGGTTCTTTTATTTTTGTGTCTCTCGACTAATTTTGGGAACTTGTTTTAAACTCAACTAACAATAGTCGAACCTCTTACTGATTTGAAGCACAGAAATAAAACCCTCAATATGAGTATGTAACAACACTACTACCACGATTTAAATCACAAACCCAAAATAATGAAATTACTCTGTTCTTTCACTATAAACAACTACAAAGTTTATTAAAGGTCCGTTGAATATAGAATAAAAATAAAAAATATGCAAATACGAAGAATTTCAACTTCCCTAGAGTATAAAAACACTCTCCAAAATGTCACAAATTAAATCACTTCAATATTCCAAATGGCAAGTTGCCTATGTAGTTTGATTTTAATTACATAAATTAACCCTTCAAATCAACAAATGACAACGGGATCATCTTACTCAGATAAACCAAAAATAGTCGTGGGCCCACACACACACACACACACACACATTTTCACACAGTCTCACGTGCATGTTTTCCCCCACGTTGTAGGCCTGTAGCGTTGCTTGGGTGCGTTGTGGCCTTTAAAGCAAACTCAAAATTGGCCCCTTCACTCTAAAAGAGCGAACAATAAAATAAATAATACCTGTAAGTCCCAAAGCTGTCCGTTTTTGGCTCTGGGCTGCTCTTGTGAAATGGTCTGTGGCTCCGCGTGTCCCACGTAGCCAGAGGAACTCTTAACCCCACGGTGATTCAGAGCGCTATCTGGTTAGTCATCATGCTTTAAAACGACTGTCTTTATAACGAGTTGCCTCAGAAACGCAGCGCTAAACTGCCGTCTCGTCCCAAGAGATCATATATCACTCTCTCTCACCCATCGCGGCAAAATTGAAAGATGCTGTCTTCGTTTTGAAATCAACAAAACATTAGTTTTTTCACACCTTACTCCTAAACAGTAAAATAAATTAGTCACAAATCACTTACTAACGGTTAGTTAGTCAAACAAACACCATTTAGGCGAATCAATCCGATCTGGATTTTTTTTCTTTTTACCTCCTCACTCAGCCTGTAATTTTTTTTTCTCTCGCAACCACCAATCACCATCACGAATAGCTCTCTAGGAAGTGGGCTTTAGAAATCCCTTATCCAATAACCAAAAGAAATTATCAAACTTGCTTGTAAAAGCCACATTGTCCAGCAAGTACATTTCAACCAAACAAAATAACAAAACTGAATTTTAAAGAAACAGTCCACATATATTGATATCTGTGAATTACATCAAACATAACATAAATAGTATGTACCATATTTAAACTACATTAAAAAAATGCTCAACTTCACCTAGGTTACACGTGTAAACAAGTGGATTCAGAGAGAGAGCCATATCAGCGTTATGAAGAGGACGCGACTGTGCACCTTTCAGACAGCGCGTCTAGAACTGGATGAACCTGGTATTCGGTACCTAGAAAAGCTGGTACCGTAACATTTTTTTTTTTTAGTACCGACTTGGTACCGAAGTACCGAGTTTTTTGACAACACTAGCTGACACAATGTATACATTCTGTGAGTGAGATCCCACCCTCTATGGGTGGGTTGAGAACATGCAGGACAGCCCTTACTACTGACTGTAGTCTTTAGCCTCTGGCCAAAAAATCCTCAGATGACGCAAAATGATGATTTGGAGGATTTTTTCCAGACAAAAAAATACATAAATCTCTCGTCTCAGGGGGATAATGAGAGTGGAAAGCACGGTAATTTGAAAATACTACAGGTTTCCTACCAATACAAAGCTTAATGCTAAATCCTGAAGTATCCCTTTAAACAGAAGAGTTAATGTACTGCTTCAGTATACAAAACCCATTAAATCATTTCATAATAGATGATTTGTACAGATTCAGCGTTGCAGAAATGATTGTTTTAAAGATTTTGGTTTTGACTAATTCCTTTTCATTCTCTCTCCACAGGCTCATTGTCATTATGTGGTAGTGAAGCTGTTTGAAGCTAAACTGAGTGAGATTGGGGATACGGCTGTCCACTCTGTGCTCAGCACTTTGGCTCTGCTTTATGCCCTTCATGGAGTCGCGCAGAACACTGGAGACTTTTTACAGGTTCTAGACCATACAGTATATAAGACATATTTAGTTCATATATTTTGATCAACCTAGAGTAACCTTTTGATTAAACTGTACCTGAGACTGCAGAGTTAATTTAATCGAAATTTAGATGTTGTGAAATGTTAAGATTTATTCATTAACAACCAGGGATGCAAACAGCATAATCGTGTCTTTTCCACGTTCAAGTTCATTATTCCAAATGTAGGTGTGCGGCAAGCGGGCTCATCATTGAAGCGACAAGCTCTTTTTTCCAGGTGGGGCGAGATGAAAACACCTTGACTTTTAAGAATGCCACAAGCGGCCACCACAGGTCATGTGACAAGAACCAACCAATCAGCTTCACCTTTTCGTAATAACATTAAAAGCTCAGTCAAAGTGAAGGATGGGTATGCAACCCAAACACCCGGGTGTTTTTATCTTCTCTGTAAATAAATTTTGTGGGAGAGCTAAGGGTTTTTCAGTCGTGGAAATCCATTAGCTACTAAATAACTTTTGTCGTTCTGAATAGCGCAGTGCACGGTTGCATAGCAACGAAAGACAAATTTTACTATAAGCTAATGTGCATTGTAAATGTCAGGAATTTATCTTTTTTGACTTTTTTCGATTGCTAAACAACAGTGAGCACAACTTGAGCTACATGTGCAAGAACTCAAACTCCAGTCTGCGCAGCTCAGTTCATGTGGACCGAACTCTAGTTCGTTTTTCATTGCTTAAACAGTTTTCAAAAATCTACGCACTTATCCCATGACTTTAACCATAACCTGCACAACACTGTGGATTTACAGCACTTTGTCCAAATGCTTACACACATTGCTGTCGAATCTGTAAACCACACATTCAAAACAGAATAGATTTCAGCCTTGTACCTTTCACACACTGCTGATTGCAATTTCAGCTGAAAGGCTGAAAACCTGTGGCTGATGCTAGAGAGAGGCAGGATTAGCCACTCACTTATTTGTTCGAATTACAGTATGTACTTTTCATTTCTACCTTTTTTTTTCTCATTACTGTAATTCCATAAATTACATGTGTTTGCATCCCTGTAATAACAGTTATGAATAGTTATTTTGTCTCTGATCATAGAGGGAACGTCATCTCACTCACCAGATACATTAAAAAACAGGAGATATGTATCAATACTAGCTCCAAAACTGCTGCACTGATCTTTAAATGTACTGTTTATCCAGGGATGTCAAACTCCACAGCCCTGCAGACTTTAGCTTCAACCTAAATAAAACTTGCCTGATTCAGGGTTATTTGAAAACTACAGGTATGTGTGTTTCAACAGGGTTGGAACTCAACTCTGTATTGTGGCCCTCCAGGAGCTGAGTTTGACAGCCCTGGGGCCTGTACCATAATGGTAATTGAACAAACTAAGTTGACAAACTTGAGTTGACAAATCTAAACCAATCCGAACAGGCTTTGTTGGTACCATAAAACTGATCACCAACTTTCTCCAACTCAGGCTTTGATCCTGAGTTCATGGAGCATGTGCTTAAACATCCCCTGACATGAAATTTTCACTTTCTGAGGTTTTGTAACATTAATATGAGTTCCTTTAGCCTGTATGGTCCCCCAGTGGCTAGAAATTTCAATCAGTGTAAACCGAGCGTGGCTATCTTTCTCTGCCTTTGAGAAAATGAAAGCTCAGGCGGGCTGATTTTGAACAATTAGGCTACACTAAACCGGCTGCATGGTATAGGCCCCTGGTATTGTACTCTTCTTTTTTTCTTTTTCTTTTAGCACAAATATGTGCTAATTAAGCTTTAACTATTATTGTTGTTATTATTACTGGTATTGTGACAAACAAACTGGTGGTGAGGTTTTGAAATTGATTTCTCTAAAACTAAAGCAATGACCGTGGAGTTTTAGAGCTTTTATCTTTTAAACGCATTCCAACTGTTCTAACTTTGAGCATTGTTTGTTTATTCTAGTGTGCTCCAAAAAGTTGACAACATTCATTTGAAGCAGATAAACACATTTACAGTCTTTCTATTCTGGTAAAACAGACAAAAAACTTTTGATGACTCTAAGATATAAATGCATTTTTGTCTAATTGTATAACACAATGCTGACAGGGTTGGGCCCTGTCTTGTGGTTCACAGGGTTGTCCCACAGATTTGCAGTATGCCACTGGACATTGAGACAGCTGTTCCTATACCAGCAGTTTAGCATATCTCTTCTAGGTGTAACAGCTGTTCCTGATCATATTTTTCTTCTTTGTCAGGCTGGTCTGCTAAGTGTTCCTCAGCTGACTCAGATCTCACAGAGACTGAAGGATCTCCTCTCTCAGCTAAGGCCCAATGCAGTGGCTCTGGTTGATGCCTTTGATTACCGCGATGAGATGCTTAATTCTGTTCTGGGGCGATATGATGGCAATGTCTATGAGCACATGTTTGAGTGGGCCAAGAAATCGCCTCTGAACCATACTGAGGTGAGTATATAGTGCATTGGATATCTGTGAAAAATGTTATTTTAGAAATGAGTATGTATCATAATCATGTCTGGTGAAGAATGTAATGGCAAATTGTGTTGTGTAAGTTAACTTTATTTTGGAAAATTAGATTACAAGAACCTCATATACATTTTTTTTTCTTAAGGTGCATGAGTCATACCACAAGTACTTGAAGCCCCTACAGTCCAAATTGTAAGCAGTGCATTTATGGGAGAAAGGGAAGAGTGTCCAACACAATTAATGCCGTTTGCTCTCACCAGCCCTAGATTTCCTTGCCATCTACTGTAGAAAATCTATTCATCCCATGTAAGGATTCTGCTCTCAGAGATGAGATTATTTTTTGTTTTTGATTCATTTTAAATGGGTATGGTTCCATTCTGCATTCTAATTATTTAGAGAAGTAGGTTCTCTATGCATTAAAATAAATGATAATTGAAGTGAATCCACATTCATTACTTTTTGTAATTGTATAGATTATTTGTTTTTTATGTAATATTTGCTTAAATTGTCTCTCTAGAGGATGTGATGTTAACTGAATAACTTGAGTCTGACTGCTATTAACTGAATAATTACGGTAAATATTTGAGTTCAGACATCCTCTTTAAAATCATGCCTTAATAAGACCCATAGACAGGAATGTTTTAATTTTTAATTTTGTAGCGAGTATCAAAATCAATGTATTGGTAGTTCTATTGCAATGATTTCCACCATTTACATAGAAGTGAATCTGTGATTATATTTTTTTCACACTGTTGTTATTTCAATTCTTATGCTACATTAATAAAGGAAAATTATAGCATTTACAGTTGTGTAAATTTGCAGAGTATTTTTAATTCATGAATTTAGGTAGTGGAATTTTCATTTCTAATTACAATTAGAATATTTACGTTAAATGAATTATAAACACATGCATTAAGAGAATATGGTAAACTCTGAAGCTTGTATGCCTCGTGCTAAAACAAATCTCATCTCAAATCTAGCTTTGGAACATCATGATGCTAAGTGAAGTGTGACAAAATATTCATTTTTTGGTGAACTATCCTATTAAGGGTAATGCACAGTGCACAGCTTGGGTCTACTGTAAAATGTATGGTCTTTCTCCAAAATCTAAAGATAGCACACTGACTCTTGAGATAAGAAACAAAATATGTCCTACACACAGAAGTCCTCTTTATGTTAAAAATAAATAAATAAATAAATATATTAATTCAAATGAAAATCCTTAAAATGTTACATCTAAAGGATATATCTAAAGGAAATCTGGATACTCAGGAGACTTATTGCATTAATTTTAAATCATTTTGTTAGTATTATTTTAAATACATGTTCTATACTTGGGAACCTGTCCTCAGCATGAAGTAACAATCTAAAACTTCCAAACAAAGTGTTTAAAAGTGCAACAAATTCAAAAATATACTTTTAAATTGAAAGGCAGAGATCTGTTATATATCAAAAATCTGTTATCAGAAGCCTGTGCCGTTTTAAGTTCCAGTCGTGTCTGAAAAATTTATTTGCTGGAGTTTGTTTTTGGATGAGCGAGGAGGATTTTTCTTGAAACTTACCCAAGAATGTTTTTAGAGAATGTATTTTTTTTTTTCACTTCTAGCTCTTTACTAAACACTAGTAATACAGAATTGAAGACTTTTGATTTTTTATCAAATTATGCGTCAGTAGACATTATATGGTAGCTTGTGTCAAAAAATGATTTTTAATGATTTCGGTTTTGACAGGTGTTTATGACAGGATATGAGGATGGAAATAGGGGGTTTATGACCTTTTGGCCCAGCGTGGTTCCGGTGTGTTTAGTAATAATACGTTTTTATTATTGAAAATAATATCTACAGAATGATGAAATTATGAACAGACGATCCGCGGATATGATTTCGGATGGATCGGCAATGTCTGCGGGAGAGAATGAAAAGCGTTTAAAGAAATAGCATTGATGACAAAAAAGTGTTAAGTTTTTAAAAAGATGTTAAGTTTATTAAGTATTTACAAGTACTTTTTAATATTGTGTTTAACTTAATGAGGTGTGCGTTACAGTATGTCTACCTGGCTAGTCACTTGTTGCAAATTCTTTTTTAATAGGCTAAATGAAAACCATTGTGCTTGAATAAAGCATATAAATAAATAGTGATTTAAATAAGATAGAAATTAAATAAGATGTTAAATTTAAAAAGTACTTTAACATGTTGAGCTTAATGAGGAGATAGTAATGCATTTGGATAATGTTGCCGATTCTAAAGTCTTTCTGAGCAAGAAATGGTACAAATAGTTTTAAGAAATCAAAATCATTGTGCTTGATCATTGTGAATTCAACAAAATGTTGAATTCACTATAAGCATTGTAATCTAAAACACCCCAATATACTGTCTTAAACAGTTAAACAAAACAGTGAATAATAGTACTTCATTTGAAATAAGATGTTAAATTATCGAGTATAAGCATTTTTAATCTAATACATCATTGAAATAGGGTCCGCTTGGATGACCATCGGAGACGAGAGACAAGCCTGCACAACGAGAGAATGAATAAAAACCGGGACATACTAAAACGCCTAATTGATTGTGTCATCTTTTTGGGATAGCAAGAATTGTCTTTCAGTGGACATGACGAGGGGAATGAGTCGATTAATTAGGTAATTACTTGAAGGTAATTACTTGAAGTTACTGTCTCTGCTATCAGAATTCGATGCTGACTTGCGACACCACCTTGCCACGGCCATCATTTTTATGGGAACATCGGGGAAAATCCAAAACGATCTAATAAATGCTGTTGCTGAGGTGCTAAATGATTCCATCAAAAAAGAGATTACCAACACCAAGTTTGTCGCAGTTATGGTGAATGAGACCACCGATTGCAGCAACTCTGCACAGCTGTCATTTCTTCTCCGGTATGTTACTGACATCGGAGTAAAGACAAGTTTTTTTTAAAGTTTGAGGATGTCACAGAGAAAAAACGAGCTCACGATCTAGCAGCTTCAGTACTTGAAGTGTTGGGTTGCTACGATTGCAAAACAAAGTTAGTTTTATTATTGGTACCAATTCTAAGTTAACCATATCAACACCACCCTTTCAAACCCCAAAACTGAGCCATATCCCAGCCTAATCTTACCCAAACCAAGACACATAAGAACAAATAAGTCACAGAAAAATTCTATATTTTATTCAATTTAAATTTTATTTAACAATAATACAAAAAATAAATATTACACCTAGAATTGTGTAACAGTGTGAAGGCTATTTTTTTATTTTGTACATTCCAAGTGTAACATCTTATTACAACCTGTAAAAGCCGTTCTTCTCACATTGCTCCTCTCATTGTAACTCCAATTACCAGCGATACCAACAGTCTGTCAAGTTTTCTTGCCCAAGAACAGTCCTGTTAAAAAAAAAAAAAAAAAAAAAAAAAGATTAACATTGAATATGCCTCAACTATACATGATTTACCTATATACAATACTAATCTAGCTCTAAAACTCATTTGTAATCATTTTGTTAGATCATAGAAAGTGAGTGCCTTTAGGCCAGAGTTTCCCATCTTTTTAAGTAACTTTAATTTCATTGTTTTTATCAATCAATTTATATCCGCATCTAAATATTTTATATTTAATTATTTTAACCATAATTTTTACATTCAACCATGTATGGTTGTTCTCCTGGTTCAGTTTTTTTGTAATGTTTTTTGTGATGTGATCAACTCTTTATTGTCTTTAAATAAAATAAAATCCACTCAAACATACTGACAGGGAAGGGGGAGTGACATATCATCAATAATTAAACAATATGAAAGGAGGAATAAAAAAGGAAACTTTATATAGTCATTTCTTTATATAGTCCAATATGTTGGAAGAAAAACATTATGCCATGCATCAATGATAGGTTTAGCTCCTGGTTCAGTTTTGCCATAAGTGGCCAATTGTTTATTGCATTTAGATGTAACCTCTAAACATTACCCAGGTTGAGAACTATAAAATTATGTGATTAATTTCATTCTTTCAATGTAGATATTTTAATAGTACAGTATAATTATTTTCTCTCAATCGCCAACGAATATGGCACATGGCACACATGTTAATGAAATGACTAGAAATACATGACTAGCAAATATAACTGCAAGCAGTGATTGCGGGGCCAAGCACCTTTTGCACACCACACACCCCAAATGCATACTCAACACCGCACACCCCACACGCACACATACGCACACCACACACACCAAATGCCCCACACATTCACAGCAAACAAGGCACACCCCACACACACGCACACACACCACACACCCCACACACACGAACACACACCGCACAACCCAACACCACACACACGCACACCCAACACCACACACCCCACACACAAAGTTTTTGACTTAAACAAAGTTTAAGTCAAAAACAAACAAAAAGTCAAGTCACATTTATTTATATAGCGCTTTTCACAATACAGATTGTATCAAAGCAGCTTCACAGTGATAACATGAAAGTAGTACAACACAGATCAATAATATTGCTAAACACTAAATAACCCCAACTGAGCAAGCCAAAAGCAAGGCGACAGTGGCAAGGAACCAAAACTCCATCAGATTGGATGGAGAAAAAACCTTGGGAGAACCCAGGCTCAGTCAGGGGCCAGTTCTCCTCTGGCTTACATTCATATTGTTTATATATAAATATTAAATATAAATATTGTTTATGTATAAAACGGCGCCATAACATATCGCAGGCGTTGAGTCGTCTCTTCACAGGCATTGGTCCTCTCATCACAGGCGTTGGGGCATCCGAAATCCCCGTGAGAGGCTGGAGACAAAACTGGACCTGACGAACGCCATTTTTCTCGGGACAAGTGGCCCGAGATAACAGCAGAAAGGCAGATGGGAAATAATTAGCATAGCTGATGTTCATAATGATTTCCATTATACGGGAGTCGGTGTTAGAAACCACTATCTCACAAACTCTCCGTAACCTGAACTCTCCGCAACCCAACCATACGCGCCGACCCGTTTGACTAAGGCTGTCGAGCCCCACTGTCGCGGAAATGCGTTTCAGTGGCAAACGGTTCCGTATGGCATAAGAGAGGACTAAAAGGTAAGCATTATGTGAAAGCTTGACTAAAGAGATGCGCCTTTAATCTAGTTTTAAACTGTGTCAGCGAGTCAGAGCCTCGGACTGTATCGGGAAGGCTATTCCAGAGTTTTGGAACTAAATGCGAGAACGCCCTCCCTCCTTTAGTGGACTTCGATATCCTAGGAATGACCAGAAGCCTTGAATTTAGCGATCTTACGGAACGCGGTGGATTGTAGGGCGAAAGAAGGTCCGTTAAGTACATAGGAGCTAAACCATTTAGGGCTTTGTAGGTTAGTAGTAGTAGTTCGTAATTGATACGGAACTTAATAGGTAACCAGTGTAGAGATGATAAAATCGGTGTTATATGATCATATTTTCTTGACCTAGTAAGAACTCTAGCAGCTGCATTTTGTACTAACTGTAGCTTGTTTATTGAGGATGCAGGACAACCGGCTAATAAAGCATTACAGTAATCTATCTCGAGGTCATGAATGCGCGAACTAATTTTTCTGCATCAGAGATAGATAGCATGTTACGTAGCTTAGCAATGTTTCTAAGGTGGAAAAAGGCTGTTCTTGTAACATATGAAATATGATTTTCGAAAGACAAGTTGCGGTCTAGTATAACACCCAGGTCTTTTACTGTAGTGGAAAAAGTAACAGGACATCCGTCTATATTAAAGTTGTATTGTAAGAGGTTTTGTGAGTAGTTTTTTGGACCAATAAGTAATACCTCCGTTTTATCTG